TTTCCTGAGGCTTCCCTAGCCAGGCCTCCTGTACATTCTGTGGAATTGTGAGTCAATTAAACCGATTTTCTTCATAAATTACCCAGTCTCAGTTAGTTCTTTATACCAATGTGAGAATAGACCAATACAGAAATTGGTACCAGAGAAGTGGAGCATTACTATAAAGATACCTGAAAATGTGCAAGTAACTTTGGAACTAGGTAATGGGCAGAGATTGGAAGGAAGTATTCAGCATGTGAGAAAGATGAAGGCTATAAGACTCAGCGAGCCAGCTTATCCTACCTTCTTCCTTCTGCTTTGTTCTAGTCAGGCTGTTACCCACATTGAGGGTAGATCTTCCACTCCCAGTCAACTGAGTCAAATGTTAATCTCATCAGGCAACATGCTCAAAGACACACTCAGAAACAATACTTTACCACAATCTAGGTGTTTTTTGATACAAATTAAGATGACACCTAATATTAACCAACAGAAACGCTTGTACTCTGTTGGTGGAAATGTAAATTCATATAGCCACTATAGGAAGCAGTATATAAGCTTCTCAAAATCTGAAAATAGAAATTCCATATGATCCACCAATTCCACTACTGAGTAAACAGCCTAAAGAATAGGATTCCAAAGAGATATCCACACTCTCCTCTTCAATGTAGAATTTTTCACAATAGCTAAATCATGGAAGCAATCTAATCTAAATGTCCATCAATAGATGAATGGATAAAGAAAATGTGGTATATGCATCCAATGGACTATCATATAGCCTTAAAAAATAAATTCTTGCCACTTGCAACAACATGGATGAACCTGGAGAAAAATAGGCTAAATGAAACAAGCCAAGCACAGAAAAACAAATGCTACATGATACTGTCTATATGATAAATCTTAAATAAAAAACTTACAGAGCAGAGAGTGGAATGGTAGTTACTAGGGACTGAGGGGAGGGAGATATCAGGAGATATTAATCAAAAGTTAAAACACTTTGGTTATCTGAGATAAGTAATTCCTAGAGATTGAGTGTATGTCACAGTTTATATAGTTAACAATAACGTATTATACACTTAAGCAATTCCTAGGGGTAGGCCATATGTTAAATGCTTCTATGAGAAAGGTAACAATAATAAGTAAGTAAATAAATAAAAGATTGGGAAAACTTTTTGGAAGTTATAAATAGCTTATGACATGGAAGGTAGTGATCATTTCACAGATGTATAATTATCTCTAAACTCATCAACTTATTGTTTATTTATTTATTTATTTCAAACAGGGTCTTGCTCTGTTGACCAGACTGGAGTGCAGTGGTGTGAAAGCCTCAATCTCCTGAGCTCAAGAGATCCTCTTGCTTCAGCCTCCCAAGTAGCTTGGACTACAATTATGTGCCACCACAACTGGCTAATTTTTAAAAATATTATTATTTATTTTAGAGACAAGTTCTTGCTATGTTTCCTAGGTAGGTTTTGACCTCCTGAGCTCAAGTGATCCTCCCATCTTGGTGTTTCAAAGTTGATTTTGTATGTCAAATACAATTAAACATACAATTCAACCAAAAAAGTAAGTAAAACAAAGTACAGAGTAGGAGAAAATATTTGCCATCTTGCCTTTAGGATATTTAAAGAACAATAAAATTGAACATCAAAAAAGACAATCTGATTAAAAATAGGCTAAAGATATGAACAGATACTTTACTCAGGAGGATACACTGATGACATGTAAGTTCATTATATGAATAAAGAAAAATGTTAAATAAATTTAACCATTAAAGAATGCAAATATCACTATGCACATACAAAAGTTAGTAAATAATAAGTAGTGATAATACCATGCTGGTGAGGAGGTGGAAAATGTGCTCACTTACACACTGCTGGTGGAAATGAAAAGTGGTATAGCCACTCAACCAAAGATTATATCAGTTTCTCATAGAACCAAAAACATACTTATCTTGCAAATCAGAAATTGCACCCTTAGAAGTTGATCTTAGGAAAAGGAAACAATATGCATATTATCTCAGTTTCATTGCTCCATTCTGCCAGCAATGAATTCTGGGAATGGTATAGCTTGTTCTTTTGCTTCAGATATTTGCATAGTCTGGTACTAAAACACCAACCAATTTCATCTGAAGGTTTTACTAAAATGAATATGCTTTCCAATTTGTCATGTGGTTATCATTTCCTCAAGGTCTTTTGGATGGAGGCCATACTCAGTTTCTTCCCATGTATTACTCTTCAACATGGCAGCTTGTTTCATCCAAGTAAGCAATAAAGAAGGGGCAGGAGAACAAAATGGAAAATACTGTCTGTTATAACCTAATGTTACAAGTTATATTCCATCATTTTTTTCCATACTCTAGTTGTTAGAAGCAATTCACTATGTCCATCCTTCACATGGTTGGTAGGGAATGAGTATTATAACAGAAGATAAGATATTGGAGAGTATTTTAAAAGCTGAGTAGCACAGTTCATCTTCTAATGTTACATATATTTTACACACAAAAACCACATTAATTGTCAAGCTCTCTAACATTCTCATTTCATTATAGCATCAGTTCAAAGCCTATTTCTTCATCTGAGTTAACGCCAGCTATGGATTAGGTTCATGGGTACACTTCCTCGAGTATAGCTCCATTTGTAGATCTTTGACACTAGAGAGTAATTTGTCCCTAACCCCATCAATATATAATGGTAATAAAGGCATAGAATATAGATATTTTAATTCAAAGTGTGTGTGTGTGTGTGTGGTGTGTGTGTGTTGGCAGTGGGTAGGGGGAAGGATTAGCGCTAATGAGGAATTACTGGTCCTTAGTAATTCTGAAATAGCTTCGGAGTTCCTTGATTGGGTTTCAAGGTCTGTGAATAATCTCTTTTGGTTCTCAGTTCTGCCTTCTCAGTTCTTATTTGACTCTCTAAGTATTCCTTCCTCTTTCAGGACAGGTAGCACATATTTACCTCTGAGCAACTGTCTCAGCCTGCCTCTTCTCAGTAGAATTTTGGGGGTCCTATAGCCTCTTTTCATTTCGTGTTCTCTTTATGGGCAGCTTCTCAAAAACTGTGGGCCTCCCATGAATCTGTTTGAGATTTATTACATTAAACAAAAGCTATGCTCACAAATATTTTTGAAATGAACCATTTTCTATCTTGGGCTTCTGCTGAGATGGCTGAAGGACAAAGTTCTGAAGTTTCTAGGTGCCCTGTTTTTTTAAAATGTGAGGCACAGTCTTTCTTTGAAGGACTTTTGTATAACTGAGTAACACTCTGAGTCTTTTACCGTAGAGCATTAAGAGTTGATCTTGACTAATCTTTTGGAACTCTTAACTAAGTTTAGAGTCTCACTCTTGTCTGGAGAGGCTCAGAATTTAAATAATGAATGGTTATGTTTTATTTAACAGTTCTTTCAAGTTTTCATTTCATATTGTTATAAGCTGCTAGAAGGAATCAGAAGCTAGATCACCAAGTTTATTATGTACACATTCTACTTTCCGCATACTGTTAAAGACAATATGCTAAGCTCTCTGCCACTAAATGAAAAGAACCTTACTTCCTCCATTTTTCAACAATTTACTCATAACTACCACTTGAGCCCTCAGCAGGCAGGTCCTCAAAGTCCAGAGTTGTACTTAAGGTCTGTCCCAGGCAATGTGAGCTTTCTGTATCTTGGTCTTTAACATTCTTCTGGTCTCTACCCACTTTCTGGTTCTATATTCACTCCCACTTTTAAGGTATTTCTTAAAGCAGCACCATATTTCCAGGTGTCAAATCTGCATCATTATCTATTGCTGCATAACAAATTATCACCTAAATCAATGACCTTAAACAACACATATTTATTATATCACAGTTTCTGTGAGTCTGAAATTCAAGCACATCTTATCTCAGTTCTCTGCTTCACAGTCTCTTACAAGCTGAAATCAAGCCGTTAGCAGTTATCTGGGATTGTTGTCGCATCTGTTAGTCTGATTTGCAAAGCTCCTCTTTATAGCTTGCCCATGTGGTTTTTGGCAGAATTCAGTCCGTCACAGGTTATTGAACTGAGGGCCTCAGATTTTCACTGTCCCACAATTGTTTTCCTTGTGGGATGTTTCATGATGGCAGCTTGTGTCAGCAAAGCAAGCAATTTGAGAAGGCAAGGGAGAGAGTCCATGCAAAACAGAAGTCATTGTCTTTTCTCACCTTCTTTCTTGTCTCTAGCCTCTAATCTTGTAAGTGACATTCCAAAGCATTTGCCCTGTTTTATTTGTTACAAGCAAGATGCAGTCCACAGGCAAAAGAAGGGATTACACAGGGGAATGAATGATGGGAAGTTGGATCAGGAGCAGGCCACCATACAGAAGTTTTTCAAGGAAATAGGGTTGCTGACCCCAGATATAACAATTGACTAACTCATCCTTTATTTCTAGGTTTTGTTTTATGTTTATGCCATGTTTTCTGGAATGTATGCCTTTATATTTCAAGATTAACCAAGTCCCAAAGCCTTTTTGTCCTATTTTTATGTTATGACTCTATAGCTATAAGTGTTTATATATATTCATGCATATATATAGATATATATATATATATACACACATGAGCTTGTATATGCACTATAGCAATGTTTTCTAATATAGATTCTTGTTTGGTTCTTCCAAACCTCTCACATACTTATATTTTGATCAGATACAAAGCAAATAATTTAAGAAATATGTAAAGTCAATTAATGCTCTTTATGAAGGAACAATGAAAAATTTGTATTAAAATTTTATAATTTAAAGCTACCAGATGTCAGTTAATAAAATCTTGTGCTTAAAACACATATGTACTTTTTTACATAAGGACTGATAAAATTTTAATCCAAAAAGCAATGTAATTGGATAACTTAGGCTTGTTTTAATTATCATTTAAATATCACATGGGAAATAAATGCCAGCACAAGGTTTAAATCCATTCAGTATAATTATGATAAATCATCATGGAATGCAGCATATGATAATTAACATAATTTAACACAGTTGAGTATAAATTATCATATTTTGTTACCATTTCTGGACCACACATGGTGCCATCAGCCACATAGGCATTGTCTGTTCCATCTGATCTCACAGAAGTCCCAGTAGCTATAGATAAACATACATGATCTTGAATGTATGAATAAACTGTAGCTTGAACGTCACTTTTATAAGTATTTTTATGTGGCTGAACACAAGCTAATTTTCCACAGAGAACATCCCTGGGTATGGAAACAAAAAATTCCTTATCAGTTTATCTCTTAATGATAAACTCCAAGCAGATAATGAATAGATGGCAACATAAATACTGTTATTTGATAGTATAACACCTGAAAAACACCGAACTAAAACATTCTATGGTGTACTACAACTAAATGCAAATGTCTGAATAGCAAAATTGAAATGTATATGCTTAACTCAGATGTGAACACATAACTTCATTTCCTATTATAGAGCCCAGTTTTGTTCTCTAGGTTCCAGTTGTCTTAGAGCATTCATATCTTACCACCCTCTGGGAGAATTAATCACTTGCCCCACTTTGATATAGCCTGGCCAGCCTGGTCACTTATGACACAAAATTTGCTGAGAGCGGTTAATTGCATTTCTCTTTCTGCACAATTTTATTGTGCCTATCATTCCTCTCAGATCTCTAGACAGTACATTTTGGCAGTATACACACTTTCCATTTTGATCCACAATTTCTCCCAACATACAGATATTTCCAGCATATTTAAGCTTGTCTGTTAAAAATTTAAGAACTTTTAGATCCCCTCTATGCCACAAACGTACCAAAGGTTATATCTTATCCCATTTGTAATCTATCATTGGGTAAAATACTAGCTTCTTTATGAGGCTAACAGTATTTCTAGACTTTGTTTTGAAAGATAATCTATGTCATTTTTTGTACTTGAAATTATTAAAATTTAATTATCAAATACCATCCTCAATGAGAATATCATTTTTAGCCATTGATATGTGTCTATTGAACATGTCATTATTATTTCATCAAAAGTCTCCTCTTAGAGAATTTTACCCATTTGTTTTGGTAGAATTTGTCCTAAAAGACCATTTGAGGTTTTTTCAGTATCAGAAGAATAAGCTTAATTACATCAAGAAGCAAAGATTAAAATGAGATTAAGAGCCGAAACCTAAATTGCATTCCACTCTTTTCCCTCCTCCACCATAACTTCTAGTTTACCAGTTCTCAATATTGCTTTTGATTTGGGCTCTGCTCTCTTTCTAAAATGTATTCTAAACCAGTCTTGCATAGTATGTATGTATCCTTCTAGTCTGGCTACCGAGTACAGATTCTTCCCCCAAGTCCTTTTTCCAAAAACTTGGATTTATGGTTAAATGTTTAGAACTATTTTTTCTTTTCTGAAAAGGAATCACAGTCTGTTTAGATCAGATGATGTATGCTATTCAATAATAGTTTCATCTAATGATTTTATTTTGGAAAACCCATGTACTATTATCACATAAGACAAAGTCCAAAGGAATCATGTTTGCTAACTTTCACAATTTCTTCCAAGTTTCTTTTATCTTTTTGTCATGAATAATTGGAAAGGCAGCAGATGTGCCTCTGAACATCAGGGAGAGAGATTAATAGGGCTGCCATGCCACCATCTTCTGTCTTTGTTAGGATCCACTGTTGCATAACTCAGACTGCTGAACCCTGGTGCCTTGTATTAATACCCAACAGGTGTGGCTGATTATGCAGGGTCTCCTCCTGAGATCCCCACCCATCAGTACTTTCTTTGTGATTCCATCTTTCTTCTTTCCATGTACTAATCCTCCTGTGTTGGGGCAAGTGAGAAGCTCTGTATCCTCTCCACAGCATATATAACCCATTGTAATTTCATGTATGGAGGAGGGTGATGGAGGATACTACTTTAGTCCCACCCTACTGCATACCTTCTTCTTCCATTTCTCATCTTCATAAAGGAATCATATGGTTTTGAACAATACTGAGTGTGGTGCTTTCCTGAGGATTTTATGTTTTTCCTTGGTTATGTCTTTGAGACTAAAAGAAATCTCTGCTTCTCCTTTAATTAACTGTATCTAATCTTTAATGTTATTTCCATTCTCTAATTTTCTGAATCTGGCTCTGTTACAAATGTTTACGATTCTTTAATTTTCAATGAAATTAAGGAAGATAAAATTAAGGAAACATTTGTTATGGGGTAGGCTCTTCTTTTGCTAGATTACTGGATTTCATGAATCCCTTTATTACATGGATTATAGTAACATTATGTCCCAATAGTCTGAATTTAGCTATTAATATGTAATTCCATGCTTTACATATTGATGTTTTGGACACAATCAACAAAAGCATAAATAACTTCTTCTTAACAATCCTATATCTTAAAAATCAAAGCTTGAGATTTGCTTTAAGATTGTTGCTATTTATAGGCTTAATACTAAACCTCATTTGAAGTCTCAATATAGTGTAGCAGTTCTGATTTATGGCAGTGTATGTCCATTTTCTTACTCTGTTACTAATTATTAGCCTTTATTGTTCAATCTCATTTTTAGGATAATATAAAAAAATAGAAAATCCTGAATGGTATAGAAAAAAATATATGCATTGGTATTTGAAAATATTGCTATGTGATAAAATTTAATGTTCATTACTCCCTAGTGTCTCTTGATAAAAATACATAATTTTATGATTCAAAGAAACAATCATTTTCTACATACGTACTTTTGTTCACAAGGCAATGGTTGTGAATTTTTAAAACCACAGTTTTGAGATCTTTCATTCAGAGAATTAACTTCTTTAAAACAGGCAAGTGGAGCACCTTGAGCACCTTAAAATGCAAACATGACAGTTGAGTTATCTTTCTTAATCTAAATTAAATGTTTATCAGTAACAGACTAAGGAAATTATAATTTCAAAAAGATCATGCACTTGGAGGAACAGTTAACATGTATATTTGCCAAGGTATTAATGGGGATTTTCTTCTAAGGCCCTTGCTACCACTTAAGTCAGTGAGTTCTGGTTCTGAAAATTGGTTTAGATTCAGAATGTGGACGTAAAATTTAGATATTTACTGAGACAACTCTCCACAATCTCCTGGTCACCTATTTTTATACATTTCCTTCAATGGAACAAATTGAGTAGTACCCTCATTGACTTACCATAGAACACTGGGAAATTGTATTGTGTAAACTCTCTAACACTTGGTAGAGAGTGTACCCATGTCTGCTACTGTCTGTCTACTGCTTATTAGAATAACACTATTCATCTGGCTTCTGCTAGTTAAGCACTGCTATCTGCTCTTGATTTTTGAAGATATTATCACCTCCATTGCTACCAGTGAGTGTACTACTATAGTGGCATCCCTGCTGTGGCCTACAGAGGAGGCCATCTTTGAAATTTATAGTAAATATGGTTTCCCTTTCTCTAGCACATTCCTTATGTCCTTGGGCTTTTCTGTTTTGCCAAGTCACTTGACCTTAAATACACAGTACAAAGATTATAGTATTCCCACTTCCTGAGCCTTTTTCTTCTTTTCTCCATTATCTGCTATGGCAATTCTGTCATTTAAACTTCACTTAGGGTGAGTCATCATGTTTTTTCTAGGCTACTGGAAGCCATCTTAGTAGAAAGATGTTACTGTCTCCTAGTATTCATGCCGTATGTTAAATGCTGTACTTTGGAAGAGTGTTTCCAAAACAATAAATACTTTCCTATCCCATCTTGTGTTCCTCCATTCAATCTCATGATCAAGCACTCTCAGAATTCAGTCCCGTGTTTGATTCCCTGATTCTGGCAGCAAATACTGACTGGGACCAAATCTTTTTTTGGGCTATAGTTTCTTTAATGCTTTGTAAAGTCCATCACATCCCTATCTCTATTATACTGTGCCTTTTCTCTATTTTCAGCTAGTGGACATGAAGGGTAGTGGGAAGATACCGATGAAAATATTCTTCATGTTATGAAGAGGACAGAGGAAAAATTAGAACTAGACCATTCTATAGGTTCAATAGACCCAAAGAAGCCTGGAGTCTTGAAATTAAGATGGTCATGTTTTCAATTGTCTCTATCCCAAGTGCAGGTCCCATTCTTCACCCATATAGAACCCTAATCCTGAAAAATATACCTAATTAGGAATTCAAATTTGATGGAGTTCAGCTTTTCAATTAAGTCCTCCTTATCACTCTCTAACCTCTTTTTTAAAATATGAGGGTATTTCAATGTAGCTTTGATTTGGATTTCTCTAATGACCAGTGATGATGAGCATTTCTCCATATGTTTGTTGGCCACATAAATGTCTTCTTTTGAAAAGCTTTTGTTCATATCCTTCACCCACTTTTGAATGGGGTTCTTTTTTTCTTGTAAATTTTCTTAAGTTCTTTGTAGATTCTGGGTACTAGCCCTTTCTCAGATGGGTGGATTGCAAAAATTTTTACCCATTCTGTTGGTTGCTGGTTCACTCTAATGATAGCTTCTTTTGCTGTGCAGAAGTTGTTAAGTTTAATTAAATCTCATTTGTCTATTTTGGCTTTTGTTGCCATTGCTTTTGGTGTTTCAGTCATGAAGTCCTTGCCTATGCCTATGTCCTGAATGGTATTGTCTAGGATTTCTTCTAGGGTTTGTATGTTGTTAAGTCTTATGTTTCAATCTTTAATTCATCTGGAGTTAACTTTTGTATAAGGTGTAGAGAAGGGCCCCAGTTTCGGCTTTCTGCACATGGCTAGGCAGTTTTCCCAACACCACTTATTAAACAGGGAATCCTTTCCCCATTGCTTGTTTTTGTCAGTTTTGACAAAGATCAGATGGTTTTAGGTGTGTGGTGGTACTTCTGAGGCCTCTGTTCTGTTCCATTGGTTTATATCTCTGTTTTGGTACCAGTATCATTTGATTACTGTAGCCTTGTGGTATAGTTTCAAGTCAGGTAGTGTGATGCTTCCAGCTTTGTTCTTTTGCTTAGGATTGTCTTGGCTGTGCGGGCTCTTTTTTGGTTCCATATGAAGTTTAAGGTGGTTTTTTCCCACTTCTGTGAAGAAGGTCAATGGTAGCTTGATGGAGATAGCATTGATTCTATACTTTAGGCAGTATGGCAATTTTCACGATACTGATTCTTCCTTATCATAAGCATGGAATGTTTTTCCATCTGTTTGTGTCTTCTCTTATTTTGTTGAGCAGTGGTTTGTATTTCTCCTTGAAGAGGTCCTTCACATCCCTTGTTACTTGTATTCCTAGGTATTTTATTCTTTTTGTAGAAATTGTGAATGGGAGTTTGCTCATTATTTGGCTCTCTGTTTGTCTGCTATTGGTTTATAGGAATGCTTGTGATTTTGGCACACTGATTTTGTATCCTGACACTTTGCTGAAGTTGCTTATCATCTTAAGGATATTTTGGGCTGAGACCATGGGATCTTCTAAATATACAGTTATGTCATCTGCAAATAGAGACAATTTGACTTCCTCTTTTCCTAATCGAATACACTTTATTTCTTTTTCTTGCCTGACTGTTTGGCCAGAACTTCCAATACTATGTTGAATAGTAATGGTGAGAGAGGGCATCCTTGTCTAGTGCCAGTTTTTAAAGGGAATGCTTCAAGTTTTTGCCCATTCAGTATGATATTGGCTGTGGGTTTGTCATAAATAGCTTTTATTATTTTAAGATATGTTCCATCAATACCAATTTTATTGAGAGTTTTCAGCCTAAAGGGCTACTGAATTTTGTCAAATGCCTTCTCTGCATCTATTGAGAAAATCATGTAGTTTTTGTCTTTGGTTCTCTTTATGTGATGAATTACGCTTGTAGATTTGTATATGTTGAACCAGTCTTGCATTCCTGGGATGAAGCTAACTTGATGGTGATGGATAAGTTTTTTGATGTGCTGTTGCAATCTGTTTGCCAGTATTTTATTGAAAATTTCTGCATCAATGTTCACCATGGATATTGGCCTGAAATTTTCTTTTTTAGTTGTGTCTCTGCAAGGTTTTGGTATCAGAATGATACTGATCTCATAAAATGAGTTAGAGAGGATTCCCTCTTTTTGTATTGTTTGGAATAGTTTTAGAAGGAATGGGACCATCTTCTCTTTGTACATCTGGTAGAATTTGGCTGTGAACACGTCTAGATCTGGACTTTTTTTGGTTTCTAGGCTATTAATTGCTGTCTCACCTGCAGACCTTGTTATTGGTCTGTTCAGGGATTCAGCTCCTTTTTGGTTTAGTCTTGGGAGGGTGTAAGTGTCCAGGAATTTATCCATTTATTTTAGATTTACTGGTTTATGTGCATAGAGGTGTTTGTAGTAATCTCTGATGGTAGTTTGCATTTCTATGGAATCGGTGGTGATATCCCCTTTATCATTTTTATTGCATCTATTCGATTCTTCCGTCTTTTCTTTTTTATTAATCTGACTAGCAGTCAACCTATTTTGTTAATCTTTTCAAAGAACCAGATGCTGGATTCACTGATTTTCTTTGAAGGATTTTTTTTCTGTGTCTCTATCTCCTTCAATTCTGCTCTGATCTTAGTTGTTTCTTGTCTTCTGCTAGCTATTGAATTTGTTTGATCTTGCTCCTCTAGTTATTTTAATTATGACATTAGGATGTCAATTTTAGATCTTTCCTCTCTTCTCATGTGGACATTTAGTGCTATAAATTTCCCTCTAGACACTGCTTTAAATATGTCACAGAGATTTTGGTACATTGTGTCTTCATTCTCATTGATTTCAAAGAATATCTTTATTTCTGCCTTCATTTCATTATTTACCCAGTACTCATTCAGGAGGAGGTTGTTCAGTTCCCATGTAGTTGGGCAGTTTTCATTGAGTTTCTTAGTCCTGAGTTCTGATTTGGTTGCACTGTGGTCTAAGAGACTGGTTGTTATGATTTTGGGGTATTTTTGCATTTGTTGAGGAGTGATTTACTTCCAATGATGTGGTCAATCTTAGAGTAAGTGCAATGTGGTGCTGAGAAGAATGTATAATCTGTGGATTTTCAGGGGAAGAGTTCTGTATATGTCTATCAGTTCCTCTTGGTCCAGATCTGAGTTCAAGTCCTGCATATCCATTAATTTTCTGTCTCATTGATCTGTCTAATACTGATAGTGGAGTGTTAAAGTCTCCCACCATTATAGTGTGGGAGTCTAAGTCTCTTTGTAGGTTATTAAAAACTTGCTTTATATATCTGGGTGTTCCTGTATTGGGTGCATTTATGTTTAGGTTAGTTAGCTCTTCTTGTTGCATTGATCCTTTTGCCATTATGCAATGCCCTTCTTTGTCTCTTTTGATCTTTGTTGGTTTAAAGTCTGTTTTATCAGAGACTAGGATTGCAATACCTGCTTTTTTCTCTCTCTCTCTTTATTTGCTTGGTAAATCTTCCTCCATCCCTTATTTTGAGCATATGTGTGTGTTTGCATGTGAGATGGGCCTCCTAAATATAGCACACTGATGGGTCTTGATTCTTTATCCAATTTGCCATTCTGTGTCAAATGTTAGGGCATTTAGCCCATTTACATTTAAGGTTAATATTGTTATGTGTGAATTTGATCCTGCCATTTTGATACTAGCTGGTTGTTTTGCCCATTAGTTGATGCAGTTTCTTCATTTTGTTGATGGTCTTTACCATTTGGTATGTTTTCACAGTTGCTGGTACTGATTGTTCCTTTCCATGTTTAGTGCTTCCTTCAGAAACTCTTGTTTAAGACAGGCCTGGTGGTGATGAAATCTCTCAGCAATTGCTTGTTTGTTAAGGATTTTCTTTCTCCTTCACTTATGAAACTTTGTTTGGCTGGATATGAAATTCAAGGTTGAAAGTTCTTTTCTTTAAGGATTATGAATATTGGTCCCCACTGTCTTCTGGCTTGTAGGTTTTCTGTGGAGAGATCCGCTGTGAGTCTGATGGGCTTCCCTTTGTGAGTAACCCAACCTTTCTCTCTGGCTGCCCTTAGCATTTTTTCCATCATTTCAACCCTGGTGAATCTGAGGATTATGTGCCTTGGGGTTGCTCTTCTTGGGGAATATCTTTGTGGTGGTCTCTGTATTTCCTAGACTTGAATGGTGGCCTGGTTTGCTAGGTTGGGGAAGTTCTCCTGAATAATATCCTGAAGAGTGTTTTCCAGCTTTGAATCATTCTCTCTGTCGCATTCAGGTACACCTACTAAACGTAGATTAGGTCTTTTCACATAATCCCATATTTCTTGGAGGTTTGTTCATTTCTTTTCACTCTTTTTTCTCTGATCTTGCCTTCTCATTTTATTTCACTGAGTTGATCTTCAATCTCTGATATCCTTTTTTCTGCTTGATTGATTTCACTATTGTAATTTGTATATGCTTTGCAAAGTTCTTGTGCTGTGTTTTTCAGCTCCATCAAGTTGTTTATGTTCTTCTCTAAGCTGGTTATTCTAGATAGCATTTTGTCTAATCTTTTTTCAAAGTTTTTGTTTTTTTTTGCATTGGGTTAGAACATGTTCTTTTAGCTCAGAGAAGTTTATTATTAGCCTGCTTCTGTCAATTAATCAAACTCATTATCCACCTAGTTTTGTTCCCTTGTGGGTGAGGAGTTGTTATCCCTTGGTGAAGAAGAGGTGAAAAATCACCAAGAATCCCTTGGTGATTTCAGTCTTTTTGCGCTGGTTTCTTCCCATCTCCATGGATTTATCTATCTTTGGTCTTTGTTGTTGGTGATTTTTGGAGGCAGTCTCTGAGTGGATGTCCTTTCTGTTGATGTTGAAGGTATTTTTTTCTGTTGTTTTTTTTTTTTTCATTTTCTTTCTAACAGGCCCCTCTACTGCAGGACTGCTGGAGGTCCATTCCAGCAAATCATCTGTGGGGGCTGCAGAACAGCAAGGATTGCTGCCTGTTCCTTCCTTTGGTAGCTTTATCCCAGTAGGGTACTCATCAGATGTCAGCCAGATCTCTCCTGCATGAGATGTCTCATACAGGAGACATGGGCGTCAGGGTCATACAGGATATGTGGGGGTCATGGAGTCACTTGAGGAGGCAGTCTGTCTTGTATCAGAGCTCAAGTGCTATGCTGGGAGCTCCATTGCCCTTCAGAGATCCTGGGCAGGGACGTTTAAGTCTGCTGAAGTGGAACTCACAACTGTCCGTTTTCCCAGGTGCTCTGTCCTGGGAAAGTGAGGCTTGATTTATAAGTCCTTGATGAGCTGCTTTTTTTCAGAGATGCCCTGTCCAGCAAGGAGGGAGTCCAGTCACAGTCTGCCTGCAGAGGACTTGCTGAGCTGTTGCAGGTTCCACCCAGCTGCTGTGTAAACTTCCTTGTGATTTTGTTTACACAGGCAATGTTAGAAATGCCTTGGTAAAGGTGGAGGCTCCTGCATCTCACTCCAGTTAGAATGGTGATCATTAAAAATCTGGAGACAACAGATACTAGAGAGGTTGTGGATAAATAGGAAAGTTTTATACTGTTGGTGGGAGTGTAAATTAGTTCAACCATTGTGAAAGACAGTGTGGCAATTCCTCAAGGATCTAGAAATAGAAATACCATTTGACCCAGCAATCCCATTACTGGGTATATACCCAAAGGATTATAAATCATTCTGTTATAAAGACACATGCACACATATGTTCACTGTGGCACTGTTTACAATAGCAGTCTTAGAACCAACCCAAATGCCCATCAGTGATAGACTGGGTAAAGAAAATGTGGCACATGTACACCATGGAATACTATGCAGCCATAAAAAAGGATGGGTTCATGTCCTTAGCAGGGATATGGATGAATCTGGAAACTATCATTCTTATGAAACTGACACAAGAACCGAAAACCAAACACCGCCTGTTCTCACTCATAAGTGGGTGTTGAACAGTAAGAACACATGGACAGAGGGAGGGGAACATCACACACTCGGGCCTGTCAGGGGGTGAGAGAGCTAGGGGGAGGGATAGCAGAAAGTGGAGGTATTGGGGAGGGACAACTTTAGGAGAAATACCTAATGTTGATGACAGGGGGATGGATGCAGCAAACCACCATAGCATGTGTATACCTATGTAACAATCCTACAAGATCTGCACATGTACCCCAGAACTTGAAGTATAACAAAAAAATTAAAAATGAGGGGCTCTTTATAAGTTAGTAGAGACCCTCTAGATTCACTTTGCTTTCAAATGCATGCTTTTTTGTTATATTTTCCTAAGTTAAATGGTATTTGGCAATAGCGGTTTAATGCCATTGTCCTTAGAGTTATTATTTGCCCCATAAATTTCACTTGTACCTAGTAATGTATTCTTTTTCAGAAGCATACTATCCCAGTCTGCCAAGAGAGTGTATTATCACTTCCACCAGTGATAAGGTGCTCATTGATAGCCTGGCAGAGAGTGATTGGATTTAAAAACTCATCTTTTAGACTATGCTTACTCATTCCACTCTCATTTCCAACTGTTAGTATTTGGGGCCTCTAGGAACTGATATTGAAATGAGGTACACTGTAAAGGCTATTTATTAAAGATCAGAATATTTGGAAGTGGGAAGGAAGCTGGTTGGAGTAGACGAGAAGTCATATTGTGATGCAAACCCAACAAGGTTTTGAACAAACTAGTAGGTAGTTGTGTGGTATAAATAACTTGCCAGTATGTGTTTACCTGCCAAAATAAGCAAGCTTTTTTATAAAAACCCCACCTCACATAATTGTTGCATGTGTCCTGGCCTGAGAATTGTGTGCCTTTGGGCAAAGAGTCTTTGCAGTTGAGACAAATTCTGATAGAGCTGATAGCTGAAGACTACTTGATGACAGATGCAGTATTTTCCTTATTCACTACACCTTAATTTTCTTTTAGCATTTTATTTTTATTTTTTTAATGCAAAGAGCATAGCTATAAGTTTTATATTTATTTTCTTTTACTGTGTTTTTCTCTTGGTTATAAGCTTCATGAGTACAATAATCATGTGACAATGTCCATCTGGTTGAATATCATAGGCTCTTTGCATATAGACACTCATTGTAAAATTTTGAATGAGTAAATCCACTTATATTTCAACATTTCTTTAAAAGTTAAAATTTACTTAATAAAAGAACACAAAATTAATGTAACTACTTGTTAGTTAACATGTCCTATATAATATACCTTAAATCGTCTACTTTTGCCCTATGGTTTTTGGTAACAAAAAAGTAAAAAGCTAAGTAAATGAATCAAAGAGAAAATGGGAGATGAATGAATTAATGGATGAACAAAACACTGCATCAGAAGATGACATTTTGATGCATTCATATTAGTTTTGTAGAGATCCCAGAACATGTAGGAAGAAATACACAACATTTTCCTAAACATCCTCTTGCAATCAGAACTCAAAAAGATATCATGTGTCAAGTAAATCAATTCTAGTTTGAAGGCTTTTTAAATTGAAAAATAAAAGAATAGATTGTAGACTCTCCTTAATGAAACTTACAGAAATTATTAATTTTACTTTTAAGAGATATTTTAAACCCTGTTAAAATAACAAGTAATATTATTCAAATAGAAATAAATATTTAAAAAACAAAAAACACATAAAAGTAGCATCCTAGGAACATAGCACACAGAAAATAGTACTGACTTGTGATTTAAGAAATCATAGTTTTGCAGCTTTTGTTGAATTTTGGTTGAAACTTATTATTCAAATAATTAGGAAGAAAAGATGGATCAGATACAACGTCATTTGGTACAAATTATATTCCTGAGCTTACCACTGGGCAAACAAGTGAACTTTGGTATACCACCTTTACTCAACTAGAAAATAATTATATTTATATGCATTTCTCTGGGTAATTTTGGTGTGTTTATATTTAATTCCTATAAAAATGCAAAATTATATTTTGATAGTATGAATAATTGCTCACTGGAAAAGCAAGTATATATATATATATATACACAAAGTCTTATTAGAATTACTCTCAAAGCTGTTTGAAAAACAAAATATAAAAATGAATTTTGATTAGGTGGGTTGGGACCACCATTATCTTAGCAGTTATTCCTCAATTAGGAAATATAATTTTTTGAATAAAATTCACTCTGAGCATTGTAAGCTTCATGCCATTAAAATTAGATAATGAATGTGGGGAGTAATAGGAAATTATGTAAATTTTATAATCTACTGATTTACTATTTTAATTTTTACATAAATGATCAGCTATAGACATGGATTTTTGCCCAGATAGCTAAACATCAAAAACAAAAATCAAACTAAAATAAAAATAATGTGTGGTATTATTCTTGGAAAATCTCAGGCACTCTTAAAAAACTAGGCTTCTTTTAAAAAATTAATTTTTATTAATCTTGTGGTTCAGGTTCTTCCACTTCTAGAGTTGTGTGGTATATAATGTACTCTACAGAGAAATGCTAATTTAAGGTAAAAGAAATATAAAAGAAAGAGCAATACCTTTCCCAAATATCTTGGCACACTGGTTATCAGTAGTTTGACATTGTCCATTATAACAATAGGCAGTTCCCAACTTGCACAAATGGCCATTTATTGCATAAGTGTCAGGAACACAACTACTAGAGGTTCCATTGCAGTACTCTGTAAAATCACACTCTGGATCAATACTCTTTCTACATGGAGTGCCTGCTATTAACAACTGGGAGAAAAGGGGAAAATTAAATTATGTTCTGTAAATCACTTTTCTCAATTGCTTAGTCAAAAGATTTATCACATAAAATGTTTCTAATTATTGACATTTGAGGGAACACCAGAGTTCCCAAGTTCATGAGTTTGCCAAAAATAAATAAATAAAATTAAATACAGTATTCATTGTGAAGCTCAGATAAAACTATTTCGAAGACACATAAGAATTCCTTTTGACAGTGAATTTGCAGCTGCTCACCTCCTTTGTGCTCTACATTTTGAGACAAGCTGACTCAGACAGCATTAGAAAAAAACTAAACGGATTAAACATACCTGTTTCTTGTATTTATTTATAGGAACACTGTCTCTACTTTTTTGTTCTTGGAGAGACTCAGGAGTCAAACTTCCTTGTTTTAGTTATTGTCTCTGACTGTTACTATCTTATTTGTATGAGTGAGAAACACAAACTCTCTGTTTTATTTTTGTAAACTTATATTAAAAAAACAAATTCTCATAGAGTTCTTATTGAACTGAACTAATGGAAAAATTTCTTAGAACAATGCATAGTAAACAGTTTACTTTTGCTCAGGCTGGAGTGAAGTGGCATGATCTTTGCTCACTGTAACTTTCATCCCGGAGCTCAAGCAATTCTCCTGCCTCAGCCTCCCGAGTAGCTGAGATTATAGGTGCCTGCTACCATGCCTGGCTAATTTTTGTACTTTTAGTAGAGGTAGGGTTTCCATGTTAGCCAGGCTGGTCTCGAATTCCTGACCTCAGGTGATCCACTTGTCTCAGCTTCCCAAAGTGCTGGAATTGTAGGTGTGAGCCACCATGCCTGTCCTCATTTTTATACATTTATTATTCTCTGAGAGCGTAAAGGCCTCCTTGCATCACTCAGATGAGGTGTACAGTTATTGTCAATATTTTGCAGTGGCCTGACCTATTCAGTTGCCATCCATAATGAAGTTCACCATGTTGAAATGCTGCCCTGCTATATATGTTGATAACACACACACACACACACCAATCCAGTTTAATGGAATTAATACTTGATATAGTTTGGCTGTGTTCACACCCAAATCTAATCTTGAATTGTAGCTCCCATAATTCCTACATGTGGTGGGAGGGGCCTGGTGGGAGATAAGTGAATCATGGATGCAGGTATTGAAAAGGTCTCACAAGATCTGATGGTTTTATACAAAAAAAAAGTTTCCCTGCACAATCTCTCTTATCTTGTCTGCCGCCATATGAGATGTGCCTTTCACCTTCTGCTATGATTGTGAGACCTCCCCAGACTTGAGGAACTGTGAGTCCATGAAACCTCTTTCTTTTGTAAATTGCCCAGTCTTAGGTATGTGTTTATCAGCAGCATGAAAATGGACTAATACAATGATTAATAATGAAACAAAGATGTATAATAAATAAATGAAGTGGCAACTTAAAAGTGATGAAATTTTAAAAAACGTATTCAATTTAAAATTCTATACCTTGTAAATATATATCTCAAAAACAAATGAAACATGAAGACTTTCCTAGACAAAAAATAACTGAGGAAGCAGGCATGGTGGCTGTTATCCCAGCACTTTGGGAGGCCTAAGTGGGTAGATTCCTTGAGCTCAGGAGTTCAAGAACAGCCTGGGAAACATGGTGAAATATCCCATCTCTACCAAAAAAAATACAAAAATTAGGTGGGCATGGTGATTTGTGCCTGTAGTCTTAGCTATTTGGGAGGCTAAGGTGAGAGGATGGCTTGAGTCCAGGAGATAGAGGTTGCAGCTAGCAGAGATAGTGCCACTGCACTCCAGCCTGGGCAGCAGAGCCAGACCCTGTCTCAAACAAACAAAAAAATAACTGAGATAATTTATTTTCAAAGGACATAAATTGCAAGAAAAGTAAAGGGAGGTCTTCAGGTACAAGAAACATGATCATAAACAGAAATCTGCAAAATGAAGTAGAGCTCTGAAAGGAACAATTTATGTTAATTAATTTAAATTCTTTTTTCTTATTTTATTTACTCTAAAAGATTAGACTATATACAGCAAAAATAGTAACAATTTAACAAAAAATATATTTTGTTTTTATAGTATATGTTCATGTTCTATTAGAATTATTCACTACACATGAAATGAGATATGAAATTAGCCTGATTAATAATTTATAAAGCAATGATGGCTAATCGGTAATTTATAATCAATAATTTGTATGTATCAATGATTTAAATAATTTTAAAAGGTATAAATAAGTAGCAACGATAAAATAAAACTACAATTTTATAGTTTTAGAGTTTACAAAGCAACTATAAGTCTCATAAGTGTCTTGTGGGAATTCAAGATAGTATAGTTGTTTGAAAGGTCATTTTTCAATTTCCTATAAAGTTCCATATTTACTATTAGATCCAGCAACCCCACTCCTAGGTATCCAGCTAAGTGAAATGAAACATGATGTTTGTACACAAATGTGCTTATGAATATTATTTATGGTAGCCATATTTTCATCACCAAAAGTGGAAAACAGCCAAAATAGCTCTCAACTGGAAAATGAATTAAGGTACTGTGCAATATCCTTACAATACTTGCAATACTTTTAATATACAGCCACTATAAAGGAATGACCAGTTAATAAAGTTAAGAGCATGAATGAATCTATACATTATGCGAAGACCCTAATTCACATTTGTATATATTGTATGATTCAATTTATGTGATAGTTTTGCAAAAGCAAAATTACAGCTTCAGAAAACAGATCAGTGTTGATCAGGGGCTGCAGGTGGAGTCTTGAATTGAGTAGAAAGAGGCACAGGGAAATTTGGGAGGGGAGTGATGACATCGCCTACTCGTAATTGTGATGCTAGTTATAAGCTTCAATATGTTTCTTCTGACACTTTGGAATATTCACTAACAGAATTTTAGTATATTATGTTATACACTAATAGCTGAATTCAACAAAAAGAATACATAGCATATTTACATAGAGGTGATTTACTAGAATTGGAATAATAAAATATCTTGCATTAAGGAACTTGTTTTTTATCCACATGTGTGTCTTGGACATAATATTATATTACTGCATGAATATTTAGCCCATATTTATTAACACTTGTACAATACATAATAATTTATGTAACCATTCCAATATCAAAAAATACTGTTTGTTTCAATCATATGTGTATGATTTGCATTTCAGTTATCAATGAGTGTGAGTTACTTTTTAAATTCTTTTTTCTTCTTTTATTTACTCTAAAAGTGTGAGTTATTATACACATTTTATATGCTGCACATTTTGTCTGCTATTCATGTTACACTTTTTCCAAAATCATGTATCATTTATTTGACATTATAATTTATTTAATAAAAATAAATTATAGTTTATTTTTATTTAATAAAATAATTTATAATTTATTACAAATTTATAATTATAATTTATTTAATAAAAATAAAAAGTTATAATTTATTTAATAAAAATAAAAAGTTAATAACCTTTTGGATATAGCAATGTGTGCTTTTTCTCCCCTTTATCTGATAATTTAGAATATGGTGAACTTTGTGATTTTATCACTAAAAAATAGAGTCATCACTCAGAATCCATGGGCATTTTGTTCCAGGAACTTACAGATATTACATTCATGGACACTCAAGTCCTTTATATAAAATCCTGTAATATTTGCATATGACTTATGCACATCTCATATATTTTTATCTCTATACTACTTATATTATCTAATACAATATAAATGCTATGTAAATATTTATACTGTATTGTTTAGGCAATAAGACAAAAATAAAAACAAACTGTAACATATCCTTACAATATTTGTACTACTATTCAGCAACTAAAAAAGGAATGATTTGCTAATATACACCACAACATGAATACATCTCAAATGCATCTGGCTAATGTGCCTAATTTATGTTTGCACATATTGAGTGATTCTATGTATAGAATCCATGCAGATAGTAACTGTAAGGGTACCTGTCTGAGATGACTTTTATATTTTATAGCAATTTTCCTTTAAATGTGTATGTTCATGTACTCTATATTTAATTTCACTGAATTTCTTATATATTCTTTTTATTTATCGTGCATTTATTCAGTTAATATAGACTTCTCTTACCACAGTTTAATTTCCTTTTAATAAATATTGATAACTTACCTCACACTTTGATGTACAACATGGTCCAGAACCACATTTTACTGAGTTCTTCAGTTTACATGTGTTATAATCACAGCACTTCTTAAACTGGCATTCCTAAAATTTTACAGGAAGAAATATTACTACAGGTCATCCACTTAAGAACTCTTGTTTCTTTTTTTTTTTTTTAATTTTTTATTGCATTTTAGGTTTGGGGGTACATGTGCAGAACATGCAAGACAGTTGCATAGGTACACACATGGCAGTGTGTTTTGCTTCCTTTCTCCCCTTCACCCACATTTGGCATTTCTCCCCAGGCTCCCCCTCCCACTGGCCCTCCCCTTTTCCCCCCAATAGACCCCAGTGTTTAGTACTCCCCTCTCTGTGTTCATGTGTTCTCATTTTTCATCACCCGCCTATGAGTGAGAATATGCGGTGTTTCATTTTCTGTTCTTGTGTCAGTTTGCTGAGAATGATGTTCTCCAGATTCATCCATGTCCCTACAAACGACACAAACTCATCATTTCTGATTGCTGCATAATATTCCATAGTGTATATGTGCCACATTTTCCCAATCCAGTCTATCATCGATGGGCATTTTGGTTGATTCCAGGTCTTTGCTATTGTAAACAGTGCTGCAATGAACATTCGTGTGCATGTGTCCTTATAGTAGAATGATTTATAGTCCTTTGGATATATACCCAGTAATGGGATTGCTGGGTCAAATGGAATTTCTATTTCTAAGGCCTTGAGGAATCACCACACTGTCTTCCACAATGGTTGAACTAATTTACACTCCCACCAACAGTGTAAAAGTGTTCCTTTTTCTCCACATCCTCTCCAGCATCTGTTGTCTCCAGATTTTTTAATGATCACCATTCTAACTGGCATGAGATGGTATCTCAATGTGGTTTTGATTTGCATCTCTCTGATGACCAGTGACGATGAGCATTTTTTCATATGATTGTTGGCCTCATATATGTCTTCTTTTGTAAAGTGTCTGTTCATATCCTTTGCCCACTTTTGAATGGGCTTGTTTGTTTTTTTTCTGTAAATCTGTTTGAGTTCTTTGTAAATTCTGGATATCAGCCCTTTGTCAGATGGGTAAACTGCAAAAATTTTTTCCCATTCTTTTGGTTGCCGATTCACTCTAGTGACTGTTTCTTTTGTCGTGCAGAAACTGTGGAGTTTGATTAGGTCCCATTTGTCTATTTTGGCCTTTGTTGCCAATGCTTTTGGTGTTTTGTTCATGAAGTCCTTGCCTACTCCTATGTCTTGGGTGGTTTTGCCTAGATTTTCCTCTAGGGTTTTTATGGTGCCAGGTCTTATGTTTAAGTCTTTAATCCATCTGGAGTAATTTTAGTGTAAGGTGTCAGGATGGGGTCCAGTTTCTGCTTTCTGCACATGGCTAGCCAGTTTTCCCAACACCATTTGGTGAACAGGGAATCCTTTCCCCATTGCTTGTTTTTGTCAGGTTTATCAAAGATTGTATGGTTGTAGATATGTTGTGTTGCCTCCGATGCCTCTGTTTTGTTCCATTGGTCTATATCTCTGTTTTGGTACCAGTACCATGCTGTTTTGATTACTGTAGCCTTGTAGTATAGATTGAAATCCGGTAGTGTGATGCCCCCCCGCTGTGTTCTTTTTGCTTAGAATTGACTTGGCTATGCGGGCTCTTTTTTGGTTCCATATGAAGTTCATGGTGGTTTTTTCCAGTTCTGTGAAGAAAGTCAATGGTAGCTTGATGGTTATAGCACTGATTCTGTAAATTACTTTGGGCAGTATAGCCATTTTTACGATATTAATTCTTCCTAACCATGAACATGGAATATTTCTCCATCTGTGTCCTCTCTGATTTCGTTGAGCAGTGGTTTGTAGTTCTCCTTGAAGAGGTCCCTTACGTTCCTTGTGAGTTGTATTCCAAAGTATTTTATTCTTTTTGTAGCAATTGTGAATGGCAGTTCGTTCTTGATTTTGCTTTCTTTAAGTCTGTTATTGGTGTAGAGGAAGGCTTGTGATTTTCGCACATTGATTTTATATCCTGAGACTTTGCTGAAGTTGCTTATCAGTTTCAGGAGTTTTTGGGCTGAGGCGATGGGGTCTTCTAGGTATACTATCATGTCGTCTGCAAATAGAGACAATTTGGCTTCCACCTTTCCTATTTGAATACCCTTTATTTCTTTTTCTTGCCTGATTGCTCTGGCTAGAACTTCCAGTACTATATTGAATAGGTGTGGTGAAAGAGGGCATCCTTGTCTAGTGCCGATTTCAAAGGGAATGCTTCCAGTCTTTGCCCACTCAGTCTGATATTGGCTGTTGGTTTGTCATAAATAGCTTTTATTACTTTGAGATACGTTCCATCGATACCGAGTTTATTGAGGGTTTTTAGCATAAAGGCCTGTTGAATTTTGTCAAATGCCTTCTCTGCATCAATTGAGATAATCATGTGGTTTTTGTTTTTGGTTCTGTTTATGTGGTGAGAACTCTTGTTTCTTAATCTCAATTTCAATTTAGTATTCAGTTGTGTTCAAACTAGTAATTATATGGTATAATTGTATAATTTTAATAAAGCTTTACTGCTTTACCATTTCTTTTTTCTCTTCTTTCTTTCTTCCTTTTTTTTTTTTTTTAACAGGATGTCACTCTTTTCCCCAGGCTGCAATGCAGTGGTATGATCATGGCCCACTGCAGCCTCAACCTCTGAGACCCAGGTGATCCTCCCACCTCATCCTCCTGAGTCGCTGGGACCAGAGGTGCAAGCAATCATACCCAGATGTATTTTTTTTTTCTTTTTGTAGAGATTAGGTATCACTCTCTTGTCCAGGCTGGTCTCAAACTCCTTAGTTCAAGCAATCATCCTGCCTCAGCCTCACAAAGTGCTAGGATTATAGGAGATATGCACCATGCCAGACCCTATTTTACTATTTCAAGAATAGCCACAGGTACGTGCAAGTGCAAGAACTACAGAAATAAAATCTAAACTAGCAGTTGGTCAGCAATATCTATTAGCTAAAATATTTGATAATTAACTCATAGGTTACCAACACCAAAATATATCCTTGGGGGAATAAAAAGGTGGTTTTTATGAGAAACAAATGTTTCTCAATAGTTTCATGGGTGATTTGTTTACTAAGGATTCCAACTGTAAATAAAGTTAGATTCTATGCACATAAACCAATAAATCTAGAAGAAATTGATAAATTCCTAGATATTTACACCTGCCCAAGATTAAACCAGGAAGAATTTGAATCTCTGAGCAGACCAGCAAAGAGGTCTGAAGTTGAGGCAGCAATTAATAGCCTGCCAACCAAAAAAAGTCCATGTCCAGATGGGTTCACAGCTGAATTCTATCAGATATACAAAGAGGAGCTGGTACCATTCCATCTGAAACTATTCCAAACAATACAAAAAGAGGGAATTCTTCCTAACTCATTTTATGAGACCAACATTATCCTGATACCAAAGCCTGGCAGAGACACAACTAAAAAGAAAACTTCAGGCCAATATCCATAATGAACACTGATGCAAAAATCTTCAATAAAATGCTGGCAAACTGAATCCAACAGCACATCAAACAGTTTATCCATCATGATTAATTCAGCTTCATCCTGGGAATTCAAGGCTGGTTCAACATACACAAATCTATAAATGTAATCCAGCACATAAACAGAACCAAAGACAAAAACCACACGATTATCTCAATAGATGCTGAGAAGACCTTCAACAAAATTCAACAGCCCTTTATGCTAAAAACTCTTAGTAAACTAGGTATCAGTGGAACGTATCTCAAAATAATAAAAGCTATTTACGACAAACCCACAGCCAGTATCATACTGAATGGGCAAAAACTGGAAGCATTCCCTTTGAAAACCAGCATAAGATAAGTGTGCCCTCTCCCACCATGTAACATAGTATTTGAAGTTCTAGCCAGAGAAATTAGGCAAGAAAAGGAAAAAGAAAGGTATTCAATTAGGAAAGGAGGAAGTCAAATTTTCTCTATTTGCAGATGACATAATTGTATATTTAGAATACCCCATGGTCTTAGCCCAAAATCTCCTTAAGCTGATAAGCAACTTCAGCAAAGTCTCAGGATTCAAAATCAATGTGCAAGAACCACAAGTATTCCTATACACCAATAACAGACAAACAGAGAGCCAAATCATGAGTGAACTCCCATTGACAACTGCTACAAAGACTATAAAATATCTAGGAATACAAACATGAAGGATCTCTTCAAGGAGAGCTACAAACCACTGCTCAAGGAAATAAGAGAGGACAAAACAGATCAAAAACATGCCATGCTTATGGTTAAGAAGAATCAATATCATGAAAATGGCCATATTTCCCCAATTAATTTATAGATTCAATGCTATCCCCATCAAGCCACCACTGACCTTCTTCACAGAACTGGAAAAAAACCACCTTAAACTTCATATGGAACCAAAAAAGAGCCTGTATAGCCAAGACAATTCTAAGCAAAAAGAACAAAGCTAGAGGCATCATACTAACTGACGTCAAACTATACTACAAGGTTACAGTAATATGGAACAGAACAGAGGCCTTGGAAGTAATGCCACACATCTACAACCATCTGATCTTTGTCGAAATTGACAAAAACAAGCAATGAGGAAAGGATTCCCTGTTTAATAAATGGAGTTAAGAAAACTGTCTAGCCATATGCAGAAAGATGAAACTGGACCCCTTCCTTATACTTTACACAAAAATTAACTCCAGATGGATTAAAGATAGAAACATAAGACCTAACACCATACATACCCTAGAAGAAAACCTAGGCAATACCATTCAGGACATAGGTATAGGCAAGGACCTCATAAGTAAAACACCAAAAGCAATAGCAACAAAAGCCAAAATAGACAAATGAGATTTAATTGAACTTTAGAGCTACTGCACAGCAAAAAAAGCAATCAGTAGAGTCTACAGGCAACCAACAGAATTGGAAAAAACTTTCAGAAGCTACCCATCTGACAAAGGGCTAATATCCAGAAGCTACAAAGAACTAAAGCAGATTTACAAGAAAAAAACAAATAACTCCATCAAAAATTGGGCAAAGGACATGAACAGATACTTTTCAAAAGAAGACATTTATGCAGCCAACA